TGCTCGTTTCATTGCTACTTGTTACTCCATCAAATAAATCCTAGCAAATTATGTTTATCCCCTCCACGTCGTGATATTCTGGCTTCATTAACTCCACCTCGCAGCTGGGGAATTTTAGTTCCCCCGCGTACTATGATCTCCGCAACTAGAAAACCAACCCACAATCAACAAGATAGAAAACGACTGCAATCAAGAAGTAGGAACATCAAGATTTACGTGGTTCGATCACAAACATCAACCTACTTCCATGAGGCAACAATACGAGAAATCCACTATGTATCAGAGAGAACTACAAGAGGAACCATTCAACTCTCGTCTCTCAATCTCTCAACCTCACATATATAGTCAACTCTCATATTCTCTCCAATACTCACTCCTTACCATCTTTTGAATGGACAAAGATTGCGAAACTCGCTCTCAATGTTGTAATCTTTTGTACGGACAAAGACTGTGAAACCCTCGCCTCTTGCGTAATATTCTTGAATCAGGCTACGCCCTCTGCTAACTCTATATTATAAGAATATTGACTATCTCTCATTTCCTTAGTTTTTCCTCTAATAATAGAAGAATATATATAAAAACCCAAAATTCTATCTCTAGCCTAACTTCCTAATTAAAATAGGATTCAAACTCCTAATCATGATGAGACTCAATCTCTTAAAAATGATAGATCTCTAACCTCATCTAATTCTCATGAAGTTATACAAAGAATCAAATATACAATCCCAACAATCTCCTCATTGGATTTGATACCTAAACTCCCTTGAATATATATCGATCATCACCGTCTTGAAACTTTGTCTCTCCCGCTAGCGTCTTCTATTCTTTTGCACTTCAAATCGAAGAAACCGCACTCCTAATCAGAACACCCGTACTCCAACCTGGAAGCCCCTATGACCATCAGTTTCATCTGCCTCGTCATGGTAACTTCACCTCTCTTGTGCGCACCAAGAGATCTTCGCCACCTCTAACATTATAAGCAAATCAACCATGCTTATCCTCCCAACTTGAGCCTGACAATAACCTCCCCTTGCTTGTTGTCCTTGTCTCCACATGCATCGCTCGTCTCGAACTATATCGGTGCATCTTTCCTACTCCACACTACGAGCCGGATGTCTGTATCTCCTCCATCACTTGGCTTGAACCAAATATGAGCGGTCATCGTCTTCAAATCCAATGCCACCATATCCATCTCCCTATGTGTCACTCAGTCGTGTCCACTTGCAATCTCTGTTGGCCTTCTTGTTTTGATGAAGATTTAACAAACAATTTACATCTAATATCGTTTGTCTAGTGTTTGTATTTTGTTATTTATTATAGACAAACAATATATTAGAGGATGGATGGATTGTACCATAACGATCATATCAAATGGAGGTTGGTGGAATAGTGGTTGAAGCTATACAAATTCAAGTTGAAGATCCAAGTTCAAGCTTCATCTGCAAGATTACCAAGAAGAGCTTATTGAAGATCTAGATCTAGCTTGGGTAACTTAGTTTAGGTTTTATATTATGTCTGTTAAGTACCTTAAGCTCAATATTATATACACACACGTATTTGGTTTCTATGTATATATATAGTTATATATATACATGCATAGTTTTTGAGTTTTCATAAATATGAAATCACATGTTTCATATTTATTATCGTGTTTAAGAATATATTGCATAGAATATGCATATTTGTGAAAATACTATATTCTTAGTTTTTGGACTTAAATATTGCATAGAATATGCATATTTGTGAAAATACTATATTCTTAGTTTTTGGACTTAACAATAATCATATACATATTTTATTAAGTCTATTTTGGACTTAACAATAATCATATACATATTTTATTAAGTCTACATAATCATTGTGTAAAGTTTTAAAATATGGTTTAGCCTAAATGTCAAAATTCATATGTTTACATTTTCATGTTTTGATCTATTTTGAAAAATGATGATATTTTTCATTTGGGAAGTCCTTTTTGGAAACCAGTTATTATAGCATGTTTATTATCATGTCTACAATCATTCTCCAAAGTTTTACATTTTTTGGAATTTGTTTGATATTTTTTAATAGTGTTTTAAAATCAGAAAAATAGTTTTCAGCACTTCTTTTTCATATATCAGTTCAAGGTCGACCGCCACGGTCGACCGCGCCTGAGATCTTTCGTCAGTGGGCAGCAGAGAGTTTCCCGGTCGACCGTCACGGTCGACCGTGGACCGCCGCGGTCGACTGCCAGCTTTCAAACCCTCTGTTCAGCCTTTTTTGTGCCTCGCGGTCGACCGCGAGAATTCCTCGGTCGACCGCCGATATGACCGTTGGACTCCAACGGCTATTTTCTGAGCTGTTTTCTGGGGGCTTTGTTATCATTTTAGTGGGGTTTTTGCTGAAGTTTTGAGTGGGTATAAATACCCCATTGCCTTCAGCTCTCCACCTAACCATGAGAGTATTTTAAACAAGTTTAAGAAAGTTTTTAACAAGGGTTTATGGTTGGTTTGAGTTTGGTTTAAAGTTGTTTTGCTTTTCACAAGTGGAGGAGATCATCTTCTTGTTTGGGCTTCAATCTCCATCTCTTCATCTTGTCATCATTGAGAAGTTTTCTAAACTCTACTCTAGCTTTTATTTATTAATTATTTGTTAATTATCATTTCTATTAAAGCTAGTCTTATATTGAGTTTAGATTTGATTTTACTCATTGTCACACACACCCACTTGAGCTTATTGTATTTTCATACATAGTATATTTGGGTTGGTTAGAGTTATAACATTGAGTGTGAGCTTTCATTGTGTTCTCATCCATAGTAAAGAACAAACATTTATTGAGCCTAATTGTGAGATTCACTTTGTAATACACTTGTACACCGAGTGAGGAGTGTGTAGTGAGAGTCGGGGATCGTCCCAAGAGGAGTGGCGTCGGTTGACGAGCCTAGGGAGAGGTTGTAACCGAGCACTTGAGGGAGACACGGCTAGGTCCAACACTTGTGAAGGTGTAGAGTGTGATTGCAAGAGTGTCGATTGTAAAGTTTTCGGTTAGCTAAAAAACCGACACTGTGAGGTGTAAACGTTATTCGGGTGAACGTAGAAAACCCGGTTGTGATAGTGGATTTCTCCCCGGGAGTGGGGAGCGGAGACGTAGGACGGAAGGTCCAAACTCCGTGATCATTTGATTGTGTTTGAGTGTGCTTTGGCGTTTATTTATATTTGTGCTCATTGCTCATATCGCCAATTGTGCATTGCTCATTTATTTCATCCACTATCTAGTTCATTTTGTTTACCCTTGTGTTAGTTTATATATCATTGCATATATATTTCATCATATAGGATATATCTCATTATTTACATTGATTATCCTAGCTCATATATCTTGTGGTATTTCATACTTGCTAGGATAACTTGTTAATTAATTCATATATCTTGTGGTATTTCATACTTGCTAGGATAACTTGTTAATTAATTTTAATTGGCATTTAATCAGATTAGATGATAACTTGTTAATTAATTTTAATTGGCATTTAATCAGATTAGATTAGCATAAGACCCTAATCACCCCCTATGGTCTAACAATCTCCACCTAATCTGACATTGTCCTCCTCGAGTTTACGTACTAACCAACTCCTGCTCCCACGATGACTATCAATAACTATATGCTGACAACTCTACTGCTAGAATCACATTTGATTCTCTACACCAGTCTCATTCGTCGCATACTCGTTTGCTCTATTTGCCATCAAATCTGTCTCGTTACCACTATCAAAACTTATCAGCATTTTCTGACCAATCTGAACAAAACCTAAAAATTGAATCCTCCTATCGCGATCAAAGCACTCCAAGACCTAGGAATCAACTCCTAGATCGTCAAATCCACCATCAAACCCTCGATTAGAAGACAAATTAATCTGCAACGTCGGATTTGATTTAATAATTTTTAACCAAACTCTCACCCATGTGAATAGCGTTCCCGCCACTACAGTGTTCCCGTCGTGACAGTACCTTCCTTTTTTTCTTTTTCTTTTTTTCATCTTGATTCTTGCAACGGCGCCAATCTTCACTTTTGTACAACGTCTAACTCACTCTCGAATCCATCACCATGGCATTGATACCACTAGTTGGGGTATTTGATTGCGATTGATCACTGATGAGATGAGATCACTGATGAGATGAAAGGCTTTTCACGGCTTTTACGGTTTATGGCTGTTAATGGTGGCTTGGAGCTGAGGGAATCCATGTGTAAACTTAATGCTGGCTCCTTCAGTGTTTTAGTTATAAAGTTATATTGAAATGTAAGTCCAATTATGCCTAGATTGGAAACTGTACTTGTGGAATTTCTTCTTTGCTAAAAAATTGTATTTCTAGTCTATTTACTTCCAGCTTATACGCGGATAATCAACAAATGTGTACATGTAGAAAAGTTCGTCCGCTATTGAATTTTCATTGAATGGCACAAAATTTAATTAAACTTGGCTTTTCCTTAATGCCAATTTGTCGGAATGTTGGTCATTTAAAAAAAACATGTATGTTACTGTTGATGGTCTATTTTCAGTCAACTATTATTTATGGTCTGTTTTCGGTCATTATTATTTGATATCAACAATAGACTGTAAATTTGTTAATTACATTACATTAGCATCGACTATAAGCTCCATCACAAATATATTTTTTTATAAGGGATCACAAATAGATTTTTTCTTATAGGCATGTATTCATTTTTTTTTAAAAGAGAAGGGGGTAACGAGCATAAGCTAACAGCTTGTTTAACAAAATGAACTGTCCACTCACAAGCACTAGAATCCACCACCCACTATGACATCTACATAGGCCTAAACACTATTAACATGAATGGGGAGCTCACTTGCAAAATGAACTATCAACTCATCTACAATGTTTTTTCCCCCAAAAAGAAAAGAAAGGAGGATGATATACTAACCAGTTGTTTTTAAGAGCAGAAGAGGGTAGAAGTTTTTTTTTTCTTAATACGGTAATGACCTTGCTTAAGCTTTTAGCCAGAAATATGTACTCCAAACGAAAGCCACACCTCTACGCCTGATCTCTTACCACACCAAACTAATTACAAATTATAGAGTTCCATATCAATTAAAGCAAGGTCATCTCCGCACCAAACTAATTACAAGTAAGAGTTCTGATATCAATTCAGGCAAGGCCATCATCACACACTAGACTGTCAGTGAACTTCCTTAGATGAAAGTATAGGACAAAGCAAGGCATCTCTCTTCCAGTTCTCATGTTGTAGCATCACCTGGCCATTGAGGAGATCGCCACCGGTGAACCCCTTCATCATGAAAATCCTAATCACATCCTCTGGCTTCTGATGCGGCCTAACAAAGTAACAATGAGGATGTGCCAGAGGCTGAGAATCCTTTGCTGACAAAATTGCCTCCAATCGTTCCATTCGGCTCTGTAACGCCTGCAACTCTTGCTCTGTATTAATTTTTTGGGTTGTTTTTGCATCCTTATTCCGCAGCCCATCCACTATGGTCCTGTAAACGGGCAATCCACCTGCACAACAAAACCAAATCGACATCCATACGTCTCCCAGAATAAGAATAAGTAAAATTCCTTTTGGACCCAAACTTCGGGACCCCTCATGGGACAGGTGAAGTGAAAATCAATTGTTGCATTTTTTTTTATATTCTTCGTATTACTGGTTGGAAAGGTGAGAGTCCGGGTTCTATCAGAACACCCTGCACCGTTCTGGGCGTTCACAATCATAGGATTGGGGAGGGGGTAGTGATGGTATTTCACTTACCCCCGACCTATCAGAACACCCCATGTGGGGTGTTCTGATAGGATTTGCAGCCGAAAGGTGAATAAACTACCTAAGGGGCACCTTCGGAACTTCAAAAAATTGAAGCCGTATTCTTCTTCCTTCCTCCCTGGTTAGTGTTTCTTCTGATGAAAGAACAAACCTCTTCATCTAGCATGGATTTTCGCCAATCAAGACCTGTACCCGAACCAACCTGGAACCATGCCCAGCTGAATTGATGTATTTTATTGGTCAGTAATAATTAGCCATCGGAATATCTCTACTAGCTATTACCTTTTTATACAAAATGGATGAAATGGCGAAGGAATTTCCGTCTAAGAGGAGACCCAGATTGTGAACAACAAGCATCTGTTAAACGTATAAAGTCAAGCATCATTCATATTTTGCGCTTTTGAGATAACCAGCCATATAGCACCTTTAACCTCCACAAAATAGTGGTGAGATTTTGGTTAGGTAAATGCTTATGATGGTGTAAGACTTGACATGTGCATGAGACTGTCTTGCGCACGTACTGCTGCTAGGAGTGTGCAAACGGTCGGTTCGGTCGGTTTTTGTTAAATTTTGAACAACCGAACCGAACCATCCATTATTCAAAACCGAAGCGAACCGTTACAAGTCGGTTCGGTGCGGTTCAGTTTGTTCGGTTCTAAAAGTCTGTATTATGCAGGGGAAATCAATTGTTCAATATTATGCATGAAGAAAAGAATGCTAGCCGTAGAGATTACCTTCGTTGATCTTTTGACAGTAGCAAGCCCCTAATATTAACAAATTTAAAAAAATAAATAAAAAGATTCACAGAAGAGAAGAACGCAAACCTTGCATCTTCTTAAAAAATTACAAACTTCAGTAAAACGACTCATCTTTATACAAAACCAGGAACATTGGATACCTCACTGACCAACAACAGAAAACTGTAGCGAAATCAATGACATCAGAACCCTCACCAAACAATCAACAAAGTCGAATTGAGCATCGAAAATCTCCCACAACAAAAAGCCCTAAAAACAAGGATCGTGTTCTCAAATTTATCGGGGTTATCTCAAAATCGATCAAACTTAAAGGGGGATTCTGTGCGATTTACCTTAACAAAAAGAATGTAAAGCTAAAAGAATTATCGGGAAAATGAATATTAATATGGTCTGAGTTCGAAGTCCAAGATCTTGTACACAATAGGCTTTAGTTGAGATTCGGTTAGAATATCTGACACCCCTTGATGATGAGACAACAAACAATTATGTCAAAAAGAAGATCCAATGTAGTTCAGCAATTCGCCCATGTCCACGGGTAGAAGGGAGCGGCAGTTTTTGAAGAATAATATTACAATGTTTCTTCTCTTGGAGATCTCTCACGAGAGTAATTTCTCGGTTGTAATTTTTTCCTCTTCTTGATGGTTTATAGCTTATAGTTGCATGACTATCGCAAGGTTCTAATTTGATGGATGTTGGTTCATAATGGCCAGAAATTTCATGTTATAACATGACAAGTGACATGTCAAGGGAACTGAATAGTGGGAGCTATAATGATAAATGATACATATCATTTATAATATTATTATAAAAAATTAACCATATAGTGTGCATGCGTATGTGTGCACTGTCAAACGACTCGGTCACCACACCAAAACTCTAAAGTTTTGGTGAGGATTAAGGGCTATAATTGTATACCCATACATGCCCCCAGAGCTTAAGCGCCCTAGTGGACATGTCAGGACTAGAATCCACCAGCTTTGGATGGAACAGAATGCTTTCACATGTCATGTTAGATTTTTTTAATTATTTAGCTATTTGGGTATTTAGGTACTTAGGTTGATATGTGTACAAGCTCATGTAACCCTCATAATCTTAATTTAAGAGAGGTTAAGGTTTGTGGGAAAATAATTGTTTGCTCTCTTTCACTCTAAATATTGTTATGAAAGTGATGTGGAAGGTATCATGCTAGAATGTAAAATTATAACCCTCAACCCTCGTAGCAACTGCGGAGTTTTAGTATAGTAGCCAGATTTTTTTTGACACGGCTACAGAGCGACCTAGGTCCAAATTCCACTAGCCACAAAATTAAAGTAGATTTTAAGAAAAAATTAATAAACCATAAGTCTAGGTTTTGGTCCATAAAATGGGCCTTTGAAGCTTTGGTGTAGTGGTATGGACCTTTGACAAGCCCAAACCTAGACTCGAGCGCTTTTTTCAATGTTTTTGAATTAGTTACTAGAAAGATTTGAACCCGGTTTGCTTGCTCTCATACTATGGCAATTTGATAATATGGAGGAAGAATTACAAAGGCATGTTATTTGGATGGAAGTGCAGCAACAATTGACCTAGAATCATGGCATTTCTTGATTCTCTCCAATCATTATTATTGTCTTTCATTATTCTCTTTAATCAGATATAAATAAAAATACTATGCAATCAAATATAGTATTCTACCATAATATTATGCTACCAAATTTATAATTTTCCATATAACGGTTTCTCTCTTGACACTCCCCACAAACCAATGATAGGTCATCATCAATCTGCTAGTGTGGTAATGTCTTGACGGACCAAAACTGAAGGATCTATGTCGCTACTGTAGGGTGGAGGACCTTCCAATGTATAGTGACATTGAGAAGAAGCTTGACGGAAGACAGGAAGGTAGAGCAGAATCTCGTCGCACCAGAGAGATTGACAGAAGATCGAAATGCGCGCGTGGAATCTAGTGACGAGAAAACGGACACGAAATAAAGCCAGGACGACCGGGTGGGACGAAAAGGGCTTCACCATAGAAAAAACTAATGTCGACAAGGAGCTCGGCAAAGCACCAAACAAAAGGCGAGAGAGAAATCTCGTCGTGAATGGTCAGGCACGAGAGGGAGCCAGAGCAGTCGAATAGTTCCCGGAACACCGACGTCAAGGAAGAACTCAAGAGAAAGCCGAAATGCAAGACAATACACGTGGGGATAGAAGAGGCATAGCCGTCGAGAGGCGGCCGCCAACAGGGAATTGCAAAATCCCCTCAGAGCTCGAGGTTGGAGAGACGAGAATCCCGTAGTTAGAGAACCTAACTGTGCCAAATGCACGAAGTTGTGATGAGGGTTTAGGGTTAATTTTATACTCCAACAGCACCAATCCAAACATGTTAGCGTGACAAGTTATGAAATCATCAGGGTTCACTACACATTAGTGATTAAATAGGTTTAAAAAAGTTATAAACGGATATACCAGTGATAGATCGAGTATATTTATCGAAAGCGAAGTCGGTGAGGTTCCACCCGATCCTAGCCAAAACCTCCTTATCGGGCATGGATTCTCTAACCCGCTGGAATCCCTTGACCCGAACCGCTCCGTCGACGGAGGAGAAGGCGGAGCAGCTGTGATTGTAAGAGCTCCGCAGAATCCCGACGACTGGGGTCCTGAGATCCGGTACCTCGCCGGTGAGCCTATTCGCCACCGCCGAGTAAGCGGATCGGCCGGCGTTCTTCACCGGTTCAGGATCCGGTAACCGATTTCTGAGTGAGTCCGCGGTGGAGGAGACCGCATCCCAAATTCCCATTACGGATTCTTCTCTCCTGAATTGCCCTCAACGCTTTGCTAGCATTTTTATTCCTTTAGTTAAAGTAAAGCTTTTCTTTTTCCTTTTTTCTTCTTTTTGTTTTTTATTTTTTTGGTTATTTGCATAACTACCCCTTGATATGAGTATTTGCAAACATACCCTCGTAATTTCCACATTGCAAATACAAATTAGCTATCAAAGTTGATTATTAATTGATTCGATGGTAATAAATACAATAAATGTATTTTTTACATAATTTTCTTCTTACGTCGTCTAAATTTAAAAGGACGCTTATTTGACTTCTATACCTACTATATTAAAATCTTAGTGGAGTTACCAGAAAAATTTACGACATCTACCATCATAGTAGAAGAGTAAGGGGTATATTGATAATTTTGCACATGAAAGATATTTTCCCTTTCTTTTGTTTCTTCCCTTATTTCTAGAAGATTCTAAATTATAAATGAGAATGGTATTTCACTCACAACAATTAATATTCGTAATTTTTTTATTTCTAAAATATTCTAAATCAAGAACGAAAATTAGGATTTCAACTAACAAAACTAAGTATTCATCACGTTATACGTTACAAGAGATTAAAATACAACATGTTAAGTTTCGTTTCCCAAATGATTATTGCATACACGTCAATACAAAAAATGACGATTAAAATATTGCCATGATCACTTTAAAGTATACTTTTAATTTTAAATTGCCGAAAGTTTTTTTAACAACTCCTTATAATATTTTATATTATTGGGATTAAAGTATTTTCTATAATGATTTCAGTTGACATTTAGTAAATGAAAAGCTACTCTCATGCTCGAATAATATTACAATATTACATAAAAATAGCACCAAAAAATATTTTTTAAAAAAGATAACCATGTTATTTTTATAAAATTATATCTTAAATTTTGGAGTATTATATAAAAGTTAAGAAATTGATGATACTTCAGAATATTAAAATATAATTCACTCTTTTTATATAAAAAATTTAGAACAAATAAGGTTAATATATACACATGCATTTGCAAATGCACGTGCAAATAATGTTGGTATGTTTTATGATATAATACTGTTACAGGTTGAACGAATGCTGGTGGTTGTATTAGTTCTTTTACTTTTTGCAATAATCTTCGTCTTTTCTACTATTAAGTCTGTTATAATAAACATTATTTTATAATGGGTTTATTTTCTTCCTCTACTTTTATTGCGTATTATAATTGTTAAAGAATAATTTGAGATATATTTAAACATAGAAGTGAAGTCCTATCGAAAACAAAAAAAATTATAAAACCAAAACAACTATGTAAAGAAAAAAAATTAATTAAACGACCCAAACCACGGATTATTCAATTAATAATGTTCACATTATGTCAGAATTAAAAAATATCAAGTTTTGATTAGAGAAAATTATTACGACAACAAACGTAGGAAAATGATTCAGCTGCCCAGATCTTCCTTCCTTTCTCACTACTAAAGCGGGAGTAAAGAGGATCCAAATCCTTTTACCCCCGTCCTTAGCAATCTAATTTCATGCCAAACAAACATCAGTCAGGAACTTTGCCCATTTTAACTTACACACAACATAATACAATTGCAAGAAAACATAGACGACCACTGCAATAATGTTTTTACTCCCCAGAAAACAAAACATATTCATGCCTGAGCTATACACCACTCTAGACTAATTACAAGTAGTTTTCCATATCACAACCTTGACCTAAGATGTGGCCCGTGAATGCGATGACGAGGACTGACAGAAGGTTGTGAACCTCGTGGCAACGACTCGGCCTCCAATCGTTTAATTCGGCCCCAGATCTCCTGTATCTCTTGCTCTGAGGAGATGTTCCGTGTTGTTTTTGCATCCTTCTTCATCAACGCATCCCTCATGGTGCTGTAAACAGGCAATCCACCTGCACAATAAAACCATCAGTTATCTGCATTCCTCCCAGAATAAGGGTAATGGAGTCATGGAACAAGAAAAAAACAAGTCTTGAACAAAATGAAACGCAAAGCCAGCGGAGTAACTAGCTATTGACTTGATAGTATGAGTGCAACCAAGACGTCCTAACATGCATTTGTGGTCATTAGTTGCATGACATAATTAATTCAAACATCTAGAAATATAAGAACAAAGTATAATGTCATAGATCCCAAGCAAGAGAAATATGCCATTACATAGATGGAAAATTGATTGAAATGTATCATCGAAATCATGTAACATATGGCACCATGTAGGCAAACCTCAAGCACTAGTTTGCCCTGAAATGATCTAAAACAAGGGTCTTTCTTAATGGATCAATGGTCATTCACTATATGGCCATCTGCTCAAAGATCATCCCACCTGAACAATTTGAACAATGTCGTACTTGACATCTATGTGATCCGTTCCTTATTGTCATTTGGTGGTGTTTTTTTTTGTAATCTATCACCGTCATGTTATTTTAATAAGTGTAATGGAGTCTGAAGCATGTGGCTCTATTTGGAAAATAAGGGAGACAATACAAGAATTCATGGTTTCTTGTTGCTCCAGGATATAACACCTCCAGGTAAGAAAACATGCAAATAAATTTTCGCTCATCATGGTTGTCGACCCTGTTCGCACCAGTACATTCACAAGCCCGCAATTCTCACTGTCAATATTATACGACATAATTTGTCATCAATCTTGACTACTGCATGACCCTCTTGAGTGCACTCCAATTTAGCGTATATGGAGTTAAAAGACTGGTACCGACCAGGCACCGCAGAGCAGATATTGAGACCAGTACACAATATTGCATAAATCAAATTTTCAACGGCGCTTCACTACTCCACATGTGTCAATTTTGTTTCCCCCTTATTAGTTTTAGACAACACTCAAAACTGATGTTATTTTCAATGATTCATGATTTATGTGTTTTAAAAACCTTTTAGAATTTTCCTTATGCACATCCATTGCGAGAGTCCAAGAATTTACCTATGCCAATACATGAGTGTTCTCACCCTAGAAAAAACAAAAGTTACCCCAGTTATCATGTCAAAGTTACCCCAGTTATCATGTCAAATTTTCAACGGCGCTTCACTACTCCACATGTGTCAATTTTGTTTCCCCCTTATTAGAGTTTTAGACAACACTCAAAACTAATGTTATTTTCAATGATTCATGATTTATGTGTTTTAAAAACCTTTTAGAATTTTCCTTATGCACATCCATTGCGAGAGTCCAAGAATTTACCTATGCCAATACATGAGTGTTCTCACCCTAGAAAAAACAAAAGTTGAAAATTGTCTCTCAATTTTCTCTCACTGAGTACTCTCTTTTAATTTTCTCTCGCTCTAATCTTTCTCAAGGAGTGCTCTCTCTCACTCTTTTCAAGAAGATTCAGAAACTGATTAAGGGATGATGGGTTAAGAGGAGAGCAGGGGGTTTATATAGCCTTGGCATTCCCTTTTTCTTCATGATGTTTCATTTTTCAACAAACACCAGCCACCCTTTATTTCTTTGTGTGTGTGCTTTCGTCAAAGAAAGCAGCCTGGCGCTTTCGGTGGCAGAAATTTTTGACCAACAATCTCTCACTTGAAGACTGATTTCAATATGTCTTCACGTCTCGATCTATGCAGCAGCTCTTCTCGGTCTTGATATTATTGCAGGCCAACTGAAGCTGAACACAGCTTCAGTTTATCAGTGGTCACCGTCTTTGTCAACATGTCTGTCAGATTTTGAGCTCCACTGATCTTTTCAAGGTTCAAAATTCCATCTTCCAGAAGTGATCGGATAAAATGATACCGCATCTGTATGTGCTTCGTTCTAGAATGAAAAGACGGATTATTAGCTAGATGCATAGCACTTTGACTGTCGCAATATAAGACATTGTCTTCTTGTTTCTTGCCTAACTCATCCAAGAAACTTTAAAGCCAAACCATTTCATTGCTGGCTTTTGTAACAGCGACATATTCTGCTTCAGTTATGGAGAGAGCAACTATCTTCTGCAGTTGAGAAACTCAACTCACTGCAGTACCTACTAGAGTATAGACATACCCTGTAGTGCTCTTTCTGTTATCAATATTTCCTGCTAAATCAGTATTCACATAACCTGTTAGTGTTGTATTTCCACATTTGAAACAAAGTGCTTTACCTATGGTGCCCCGTAGATATCTGAGGATCCATTTGACTGCTTTCCAGTGTATCTTGCCTGGATCATTCATGTACCTGCTAATAGCTCATACTGTTTGAGCAATATCTGATCTTGTACAAACCATGACATACATCAGACTTCCAATTGCTGAGACGTACGGGGCCTTCGTCATTTCCTCTGTCTTCGGTGACTGCTCTTTGGAAAGTCTGAAATGAGCACCTAAAGGTATACTTACTGGTTTAGCATCTTGCATATTGAACCTGGAGAGTACTTCGTTAATGTACTCAGCCTATGATAACATCAAAGTCCCAGACTTCGTGTCTCTCTTGATCCTTATTCTAAGAATCTGTTTTGCAGCTCCAAGATCTTTTATTGTGAACTGCTTTGACAATTTCTGCTTTAAATTTACAATCTCTTACAGATCTGATCTTGCAACGAGCATGTCATCAACGTATAATAATAAAATAATGAAGCTATTGTCAAACATCTTGAGATAGCAACAATGATCTGCTTAGCATCTAGTGAAACCGTTACTGTCCATAAAACTGTCAAACTTCTTGTACCACTGTCTGGGAGCTTGTTTTAATCCATACAAGCTCTTCTTCAAACGACATACTAGATTTTCCTTGTCTGCCTTTGTGAAGCCTTCCGGTTGCTTCATATAGATCTCTTCCTTCAAATCACCATGAAGGAAAGCTGTTTTTACATCTAACTGCTCAAGATGTAAATTCGCAGTAACTACAATTTTCAACACCAGTCTGATTGTAGTCAGTTTTACGACCGGAGAGAAAATTTTATAGTCAATACATTCTTTTTGCTAAAAGCCTTTGACAACCAGTCTTGCCTTATAGCGCATGTTCCCATCATGCTCTTCTTTGATCTTGTAAATCCACTTGTTATGAAAAACTTTCTTACCTGGTGGTAATTCAGCAAAGTC